CTCTCTCTCTCTCTCTCTCTCTCTCTCTCTCGATAAACAAGGTAATGCTCAAATTATGTGCTCGATTAGAGACCCACACAAAAAAATATCCAAAATAACCATTTTATATCATTCACTCGATTAGCCGATAAACACATCTCGATATAAGCTTTACATATAAAAAGCTACATAAAAATAAACTCTCATTTAATATAAAATATCAGTCAATTTTGGTTAACAATAATAACAAAGAAAACTGAAATAATAAAATAAATACACAATAATAAAAATAATGATAAAATTGAATCCACATTTCAATTTCAAAGCTCTTTATAGTTAATAGTCTCGGGAAATGAAAACTCAAATCTATTGTAAATAATAAATTGTTTTACTTATGGCTGTGTTTGCCTTCCCATAAGACTAATATGTAGTTCATTTGAGAAATACCAAGAATGTAAAAACAACTCATTATAATGTATAAGTAATCCTAATAGTGCACTAAATGCTGAATATAATTACGAATCTCAGGCAAAAATCAATGCATAATTAGTTTTTTTTATATTTTCTATAATGTATATTTATAAGAGTTACGATAATTATTATTATTCCATATAAAAAGTAAATTATTTCTTATAAAAAATCAAGAATTTCCTTATTTTGTTGTCAATTTATTTCAAAATAAATTATAAAAAATGTTTTCTGCTTGCATTTTCCATCATAAATTGCTTTAATCATGGGCACTGGTAAAATATCATGGTCCCTTGACGTTTAAAAGCAACTTGTAGTTTAATTGGCCTAAACTTGATCTTATTATTATAAATGGCAAAAGGTTAATTTTTTAAGTAAAAGCTTGTTCATCTTTTAAACAAAGTGGAATATTTGTATTTTGTATTATTATGCTATTATAAATTTTTTATTATTAATATACTGTACGGTGCTTTAAGTACAAATGATTTTTAATGTAAACAACACTTATAAAATAGTTTTACAACTTATAACCTACTAGTACTGGCAATTTCGGCACAAAAATAATATGGCATTAAATTTACAATTATTTAATGAAATAATTTTCAAAAAGTTAATTAATTAATATATATTTATAAGTTAAAAATATTCAAACACCAATTTAAAATAGATTATTTTATATAAAATTAATGACTTATTTTAACTAAATTAAGAACATTGTAAAATTATATGTTTAAATATATAAAATTTATAAATCTTCTATAAATATGTGACTAATTATATTAAAATGCATTACAATAAAAATATAAAGCTTTATGATATATTTCAAATGATATAGCATTCAGACCTCTGAAGTCTACAATTGTTAATAAAAATCATAAATAATATTTGAATTGTAAGATAATTTGTGAATTCTTTATATTGTGGACTAAATATGATATCATATTAATTGTCTACACTTTTATACTTTACGATTACAGATAATTACTATATGGTATTTCACTGTCTATTATGATAATAAAATAGTTCTAAAGTAAATACAACATGATAATAGAAGTGTGATAATAACTATTACAATTGGTTAATGAAACAAATTAGTGTACTGTATTATATTTAATTAATTTGTAATTTTTAATGCAGTAAATTAAATTAAAACCAACTCAACCCGTATAAAAGATTATAAATTAATAATAATTATTATTAAACAAATTATAACTTTCAATAAAATTAGCATTTTTTTGTCAATTACTATAATAATGAATACATCACTACCATAATTAAATGTAATTAAGTTTTATTTCTGAGATTCAAATACCTGTGTATAACATATTTGCGATAATACCTGACATGTGGTGTAAAAATGTTATATATTTATGACATTTATATAATTTGCTATATTTCCTTTTGAAAATTATCGCTTGAAAAAAATTTAATATACAATAAAATATAATACACTGTGTTATTAAAACATTTACCACTTTTGTATTTTTATTATTGTTTTATTTAGTGGAAATTTTAGTAGACTTAACAAGCAACTTTTTTCGCTAATTATATGTTTGTCTTTATTTGTATTAATTTAGTTTTAATATATACTTAAATAATGTCGACAATAATAAATACCTTCAATATTTGCAACAAAATACCGGATCAACTAAAACGGGACATAAAACTAGTGCATGTATTTCACGACATTAAAGGCCACAACATATTGTTCATCACCGGCGAGGACCAGGTGTACGGACTGGGCATCAACTACTGGGGCTCTTTAGGGTTGGGCCACAACGTGCCCATCGAGTCACCGGAGCTGATACACGAATTATGTCACCAGAATATCCAAGAATTTGTAATTGGGGTAACATTTGTGCTAGCCTTAGATAATAACAACCAGGTCTACGGTTGGGGTTGTAATGATTGCGGTCAGTTGGCCCGGGAGGCCACTCCGCCCAACGTATACTTAAAGCCCGAACGAATAGCATTTTTCACCAACAACAAATTTATCACCCAGCTCAGTTGCAGCCATAGCCACTCGCTGGCACTGGCCAGTGATGGCGATGTCTACTCGTGGGGTAACAACCGCAGGGGTCAGGTTGGGTGCGGGGAACCGACGGGTGATCCCGAATGGGACCTCATTTCGACACCCGTTAGGGTAAAGTTTACCAACAATTTTAAGATCAAGATGAAGGCCGTGTACTGCTCGGCCATACACTCGTCGTTTGCCTTAACACTGGATGGGTATGTGTTTAGTTGGGGTAACAATAGTTGCCATCACTTGGGCCACGACTTACAAGACAATGTGGCCAAACCCCAGATCATAACCAATATATTTAATATACAAACGGTGTGTCCGTTTGGGAACCGCACCTATTTTCTCACAAACGAGGGTTTAGTGTATTTTTGCGGTCTCTATGAAAGTCACCGAAAAGTACATTTGATTCAATCGACGCCCAAATTGTCAGATATTAAGTATAATTTTAAAAATTTGGCCCATATTTCCGGTTTTACTGCCAGTAATAATAATGACAGTAATAATACTAATAATAAAGTTAATGATGGTAACAATAATAATGCAAATGCTATGGCATTCATAATTGGTGCAAAACAACGTGATAAAACTGTATATAAAATACTCGAGTCTAACGCCACTATTGAGACAAAATATGATAGTTTTGTCTCGTTTTATGCCAATGAATATCAGTTAACGTATAAAACAATTAAATTGAGTGATTGGCCAGAAGTGATCAAACCTGAAGTAAAAAATGTGGCCAAACCTGTGTCCGACAAAGCCGTAGTCATGAACAATAAAAGCAGTGTGGTTGAAAATGAGCCAATTGCACAAAATCAAGATATTAATTGTAATGAAACCGAAATAATTAATAATGAAATTAATTTAATGGATAGTAAGCCAATGCCAGAACCGGTTAGTCCACCAAAACCCGCCACCCGTAGGGTTAAGCCGATCAAAGCGGTACATTTTGTTGGTAAGTTATCTGGATCAAATAATTTAACTTACAAGTTAGTGCAACATGTTAATTTTAATTGTTTTATTACTAGACACTAAAGCAACAGTGATTAAGTCTAAATCGCCTGTCATTGAAAACAAATCGCCAATCATTGAAAATGTCACAAACGATAGTTATTATCAAAACACATTTGAAGAGTTGTCGAGTGTAGGGTCGGGTGCTTTTGGCACAGTATATAAAGTGCAGCACCGCTACAATCAGCGCCTCTACGCCATCAAACAGATTGTTTTAAACGGTACGTTGTTTTACACACATTTAATTGAATAGATGAATAAATTTTGTTTATTAAATATACCATCCAGATTCAAACACCGAGCTAAATGACCAACTGTTAAACTCAACAATAAACGAGCTAAAACTACGGTCAGAGTATGTAATACAGTACACAACGTCGTGGTTGGAGGATAACCAACGGCTGTACATACAGATGGAGTACTGTTCCCTATCTCTCAGCGATGTGCTGACAGTGAAAGGCCCGGTGTTTGGCCGCCAATCCAGCTCTAAACCCATGTCCACAGCCGAGTACTACTTGTCGTGCGGTATATTTGCCGATATCCTGGAGTGTGTCCAGTATTTGCATTCAGTGTGGCCACATGTCATTCATCGTGGTCTCAAACCGAGTAATATATTTATCGCGCAAAGCGGCGTTAAAAAGGGTCGTTACCTCAAACTGTCTGACTTTGGTTTGGCCAATGTGTTCAGCGCCGGCACATATATACCTCCATATACTGCGCAAACGGCGTCCGATGTTCACTACACGGCGCCGGAGTTGGTCGGCCCGGACGGCGCTGTTAATCAACGTTTGGCTAATACAAAGTCCGATGTGTATAGTGTGGGTGTTATCGCACAGCAAGTGTTTGATATTAATATTAACGAGTAAGTTTGATTTATATCAAAAACTAATCAATCCCTCCCCCACCGCCCATTCACAGTTTGCTTAAACTTACTTTTTCTAACACTTAATATCCTATTTACTACTATTGATATGTTTATGCATTTTTATATAATGTATTTTTAGTGCAAAGTTTATGAAAAAATACCCGTCGACTCACGAATTACGCGAATCGATTGACCAGTTATGCCAAGTGTTAAAAGCTATGACAGCACCGGAAGCTGTGAATAGACCCGAGTGTTCACATGTCCTTAAAGCTCACATAAAGTGGTCCATCGATGCTAAACAGGTTGGTCTAAATGGCTATGATTTTAGTCAAAAGCCTAAAACAATTAATAATAATATTGATTATGAATTTATTCAGAAATATATTTTGCATAAAATTAAGTGATTTTCTTATTTGTTTTGAATTTATAATTATGTTATTATTTAATGAATATTTATTTTTACGGAATAATATTTTTTCTTACTGTTTAAAGAATATATTTTAATTGTTTATTAATGTTATTACAAATAATATTATACTTAAAATTAATGTGAATTTTAATTTGAATAATAATTTTATTACATTAATTCAATATTTATTTAATGATTATTTATATAGCAATACTTATATTATTTTAAATAAACAATATGATAAACATGATAATAACATATATGATTATCATAAAATATATGATGAAAAATTACTAATTATTATTTTGGAAATAAATTCACTTATATTAATTAAGCACATCATTACGCATATATTAATTACTATATTAATTAACAAATGCAACTAGTGCATCTGTCTAATTGTATTATAACTGGTAACCAGGCCATTCCAAAATAGAGAGGGGACATTGATTATGTGAACGTGGTTATTGTTTGACCTAGGTAATTTCCAAATATTACTCACTATAAACGTACTCGTTTATTTACATTGTCTGTATGAATAGTGTATGAATAATGTGCACAATTTTTAATAAG